AAGGTGTTTTAAAATTTTTTTTTTTTTTTTTTTTTGCTTTGATGCTTTTCATCTTTTGCTTTTCGTCTTTGACCCTTGTAAAAAAAATGTATATTTATTTGTTATTTAGCCTACTTTATTAGTAGTAATAGTATAAATAATAATCTCTTACACTATGTATATATTAGAAGGGTTTCTTGAGCGGCAAATTAGCATTTTAGAATCATTTCTGAATATATATATATATATAAATAAATAGGCCACCCTGTTCTCTTTTGGCTAGCTATATTGACTGTTGCACTTAGTCGCACGTTAGTGTTTTCTCTAGAAACCTAATTTTCCACATAGTCATAGAGCCTATTATGAACCAACAGTATTTTTTAAGCAGCTATTTTTGGAAAGTTGTTGTAACTACTTGCCAGGCTAGGTTCAGAAAAGTTGATTAATTTATTTATATTTTTTTGGCTGTCTGATTGCCTTGCATTTGGCTCTTATTACTCAGGCTATGAGGTGACCACCATGGATGAGGCCTGCAAAGAAGGAAACATCTTTGTGACCACCACTGGCTGTGAGGACATTATCTTTGGCAGGTTTGTATGGCATTAATCAAACATGAACCAACTATCAGATGTCAAGCTAGAATGTGTGTTGTACTGCATTTAGTGTCCTCTCAAAAACGGAGAAAATTCTATTTCTGATTTCAATTCGAGTTTCGTGATGATACTTTAGTTACAATGTCAGCAGCCTTTTGCCCAATGATGGTCACTTTTGATTTCAACAGGGAAGTAATAAATCAAAATTATTTATGGTACAACAGGTTATTACTCAATCAAATGTATTGCATCTAGCAACATTAATGTCTTTATCTTACCTTAGCCTCTCAGGCTTAGTTTGTCTCGGTAATGTAAAAAATTATGGTTTATTGTGGACTGCTCACCTTTGCATGTTATTTCAAAGAAAAAAATGTGTTTGTAATCTTAAGTCAAAGTGTAAGATGTTTGCTAGTAGCCATATAGCTATTTCGGCAAGCGCAGTTTTGGCTCCAAATGCCTGCTTTTCATAATCGTATCAATTCTAGATGTATAAAATCAAGGTTTATATATATATATGTATATATATATATATATACACTTACCAAGACTGTATTTGTTTGATACATAATAATAGTTTATTATTATACTAATATTATTTATACTAATTACTATTGTTCAAAAGTTTTTCTTCAAAAGGTTTTAAACATAGTCTCAAGTTCATCAAGTCTACATTTATGTGTTCAGAAATTCAGTAAAAACAGTCATATTGTGAAATGTTATTAAAATAACTGTACTATTTAAAATGTAATTTATTCCAGCATCAAGTGTCACATGATTCTTCAGAAATTGTTCTAATATGCTGATTTGCAGCTCAACAAACATTTCTTCTTATTATTATTATCAAAGTTGAAAATGCCGCTTTTGATCAATTTAATGCACCCTTGCTGAGTAAAAAACAAAAACACTGTAAAATACAGACCCCAAACTTTTGAACGTTGGTGGTATTAATATTTATTTACATTACACCCTCATGGTGTTCACACTCCAGCATTCAAACACAGTCTGACAAGTTGGACATCTTGCTAAAATCGTGCATTGAATTCTCACACACTACGCCAACTGCTTATAAGGATGTCATCCGGCACAGCGTGAAAGTTGGTCAACAATGAATCCTTTCAACATGGTGAAGTGGGGTTTCTGCTCGTAGCAGGCAGGGAGATTCATGTGCGGTGGAAGGACCCCCAGACCTGCAATCAAACACGCACAGCGTGAGATCTGGCCTGAGCCTGCTACATTATGCAGCGCTCGTTTGAGTTTGGTGTGCATATGCATGCTGTTCTGTGCTTATCTGACGGTTAAATGCGGAGGTGAGCGGGCTGGTGGGTTCTGATGGGGTGGGGGCCTCTGTGATAAATGGTCGGGATGAGGACATGCAGGGGCCAGTGGAGCACAGCTGCTGTTTGGTATTATCTGCAGATGTGAGAACTGTCTTCGATTCTCTGGTAGTTTTCAGAGCTGATGGTACATGTTTAAAGGCTGGCATTCTGCGTATGTCTGTCTGGCACCAGTTAAGCAAATGCAATCCAGAAATGGTTGAGGTGAAATATTTTGAACCTACATTTTTGCTTCAGCCTTGATTGCTTAGAAACATAATTGCCCACCTCTCCTCAAAAAGCCGCATGATTTGAGGCGTCATTCATTGGCTGAGGAATAAAAGATTCCTCCGTTACTAAAAAAGTAATCAAATTACAGTAACGCGTTACTAAGTAATGCGTTACTACCCAACACTGTTCCGGATGCACTGTATACGGTACACACACAGCATTTTTGGGTCCATATTTTACATGCATATATATAATACGATTATATATATATATATATATATATATAATGCATATGCTAAATTGAAGCCTTTTTTTTAAAACACTAGCTTATAATTAGTTTTATTCATTTTAATAGTTTTTTTTAATACATACATATATATTATTGTTTTCATACAGCACAATGTTCATCTAGTGTTGTTTGTTTTGTTCTTTATAAATAAATAAATTGCTTGCTCGCTTGCTAATCCATCACAAACCCCTAGTTGGGAAATCCTGCTTAAAATTTGAATTCAAATGCAAATGAAAAAATGCCATGAATTCAAAACTGACAACATTTGTTTTCTAAATAAACAGTCCAGGCCTTATTGTGAATGATTCACCAGTACTTTGGTTTGTTTTTTTTGCAGACACATCACCACACAAAAATCTTGCTTTTGAATGCCCTGCTTTCTGACCCATGATGGTCAGCTCTGATCTGACTTTGGCGAACTCTCCGCTCTTTTATACAGGTTGACCGTTTTCGCATGAAAAATGGCCGTCACATCATCGTTTTGGCTGAGGGGCGTCTGGTGAACCTGGGCTGTGCCATGGGCCATCCGAGCTTTGTGATGAGCAACTCATTCACCAACCAGGTCCTTGCCCAGATTGAGCTGTGGACCAACACCAGCAAATACCCACTGGGTGTTTACTTCCTGCCAAAGAAGGTACAGTAGCTTCATGTAGACTTTTATTACAGATGGTATTGTCCAGTAATATGCACATTATTCATGAATGTCTTGTGATTTTAAGAGTGTAAAAGGTTTGCAAGCTTACTTAAAAACAACATGCAGATCGAAGCAGGGAAGCTTAACCGATGATTATCAGAATATATGAGATGTATTTATTCCTCACTATGTCCTTTGTGCATGTGTAGCTGGATGAGGAGGTGGCTGCCGCACACTTGGACAAGCTTTGCGTCAAACTGACTAAACTGACAGAGAAGCAAGCCAAATATTTGGGTCTGCCCTGCGACGGTCCCTTCAAAGCGGACCACTACCGCTACTAAGTAGCTTTGACCAATCGCAGCTTCAACTGTGGATGAGGACGGACTACACGATCATTAGCAGCTGTGCCAGTTACCTTTACGGCTATAATAGTGCTTAATCGTGTCTCAGTCTCATCACGAGTGCCTGCGAGCTCTCACCAACACCTTTTTGCATTGATATCGAGTGCAACGCTAACTTGTGAACACATTGTCACTGTCTCGTTTGCATTCCCGGTTTTATTATACGGTTATGTTAAAACACATAATTCTTCCATTAGGTCAGTTATTTGATGCCCCTCAATAAATGATTTTTTTTTAGTGATTTGTTTCAGCTTTTACTTGCTTGTGAACAGAATTTTGTGCCAAAAGCTGGTTGAAATCGTTCCTCGACTGGAAATGTTGGTCAGGTAGTGTAAACATCATGTTTTGTTTTTTTCTCACAGACACTTTGAGCAGATGAAGGATGATGCTATTGTCTGCAACATTGGACACTTTGACTGTGAGATTGACATGAAGTGGCTCAATGAGCATGCAGCGGAGAAAATCAACATCAAACCTCAGGTGCAAGATTGATGACTTGAGTGTTAGATTTGAAGTAATTAAGTAATGATAATGAAATATTTTAATGATTTAGTAATAGTTTTACGAGTGCCTGCGAGCTCTCACCAACACCTTTTTGCATTGATATCGAGTGCAACGCTAACTTGTGAACACATTGTCACTGTCTCGTTTGCATTCCCGGTTTTATTATACGGTTATGTTAAAACACATAATTCTTCCATTAGGTCAGTTATTTGATGCCCCTCAATAAATGAACATGCTGGTTTGCTTCAGCCTTGATTGCTTAGAAACATAATTGCCCACCTCTCCTCAAAAAGCCGCATGATTTGAGGCGTCATTCATTGGCTGAGGAATAAAAGATTCCGGATGAGTTACTTGTCAAATATAATATTACGGTTAGCGGTTTGTTCAAAATGCCAAGGCAAACATCACTAATTTATTTAATGTTGGTTGACCATTGTTCTAGATAATTGTTATTTTTTTTTAGTGATTTGTTTCAGCTTTTACTTGCTTGTGAACAGAATTTTGTGCCAAAAGCTGGTTGAAATCGTTCCTCGACTGGAAATGTTGGTCAGGTAGTGTAAACATCATGTTTTGTTTTTTTCTCACAGACACTTTGAGCAGATGAAGGATGATGCTATTGTCTGCAACATTGGACACTTTGACTGTGAGATTGACATGAAGTGGCTCAATGAGCATGCAGCGGAGAAAATCAACATCAAACCTCAGGTGCAAGATTGATGACTTGAGTGTTAGATTTGAAGTAATTAAGTAATGATAATGAAATATTTTAATGATTTAGTAATAGTTTTAGGAGAAAGATCAGAGTACTTTAAAAAAAAAAAAGTTTTTACTTTTCAATAAAAGATTTATTTATTTTTTCATCAGGGAAGCAAATTTGTTAGATATTTTTAGATATTTTTTTTAGTTTGCTTGTGTTGTGAAGCACTTTGAGAAAGCAATTTTTAAAGGCACTATAAAAATGTATTATTGTTATTATTTACTAATGCTAATGAAATAATATTTAATGATTTGTTAATTTTAGGGAAAAGATTACTTTTAGATTACTTTTCAGTATTTGTTTTTTATGTATTAATAATTCAATATTTAATTTAATAATGAGTACCTAGGAGAAAGCATAATGTTGGAGGAATATATATATATATATATATATGTATGTGTGTGTGTGTGTGTGTGACCCTGGACCACAA